ACATGAAGAATAAGGGACAAATCTAGAGATCTAGCATATTAGCAACATAAATATTGAGTCTTGGACACCATACCAAAAGGCTTCCTTCTCCTTTAATGATCACAGAAGTACCAAAAATGAGCTCACAATATGCAAATAAGGCTAGGGTTAGGGTTTCTAAGCATGGGAGGGTGATACATGATGAATGTTCATGAAACCCTAGCCATAATGTCCTTTAAATAGGGCCCAAATCCCAAGGATTAGGGGTTTCTTCAAAAAAAAGCTGCCACGACCTAGAAATTCATAAAGTTTTGAACTCATGTTAGGTTAAAATAAGGGTTTTATGACCAAGATTTAATGCATGACACCAAAACTCATTCTTACTTCAGATCCAAGGCACCAAACACCCCAAATGACCTAGAGATTCATAAAGTTGCATAGTTTATGAGACATCACCACCCCCACCCACCAAGACATGAAGAATAAGGGACAAATCTAGAGATCTAGCATATTATCAACATAAATATTGAGTGTTGGACACTCACCAAGGTCTAGAAGATGAGGATGATGCTTGCAGGGTGAACCACCATACCAAATGGCTTCCTTCTCCTTTAATGATCACAGAAGTACCGAAAATGAGCTCACAATACGCAAATAAGGCTAGGGTTAGGGTTTCTAAGCATGGGAGGGTGATACAGGATGCATGTTCACGAAACCCTAGTCATAATGTCCTTTAAATAGGGCCCAAATCCCAAGCATTAGGGGTTTTTCCAAAAACAGCTGCCACGACGTGGCACCCATGGTTACATCATGGTGGGTCATTAAAATCTCACGATCATAAAAAGTATTGTCACACCGTGGTGAAGCTCCACCACACCGTAGCCACCCAAAATGAAAGTTTCAAATTAGAAATTAACTCACACCTAAAACGGGTATTACATATAAATCAAAAAAACATGCTTCTGAGTGGGATATTCAATGTCGGTTGAGTGATAATGAAAAAAGTTGTTGATGTGGTGATGGTACCCAAAAACATGTCAAGGAATGGAGTACCCCCTTTTAAGGAGGTTAGAAAAGATTCAGAATGTTGAATTACTTGTTGTTGTTAGAATAAGATTTAAATGGAAAGAGTAATGATAAATTGAATAACATGCAAAAAAAATACAAATATGCTTCCGATTGATCAAAGAATGATGTTACATCTCAAGTGTTACAATGAATAACAAGAACATGCGAAAAATTTATTACTTTCTCTAGCACTAACTATATATACTAACTAAAAAATAAATTCATTGTACAATCAACCAATAATAACATGACACATAAGAGAGCAACAAGTGAATCAGTTGTAACAACCTAGCCTACACTGTCACTAACATACACCATGGCTAGTGTATGAAAACTCATCTTGTGTCAATATCGAAAGGGAGCAACCAATTTCGAATCACTACTTTTGATATCCAAAACAAGTTAAATTATGAATCGTCAAAGGCTATAGTGAAATTTAAAGATTGTCACAACGTATCAAAACATGTGTTTCTATAATCCCCTCTTTATGGCTAGTCTTTCTTCAGTTCCGAAAAAAAGAACTTAAAATAAAGACCACATTACTTCTGTCACTTTCATCCAACACCTTAAGATATCAACAATATTCTTTCGAATCACATGATTGTTTTTCGAGTTCAACATTATTTTTTGTATAATATCCTCAAATACCACACTTGGATATCTTTCTTCTAATTAACCCTAAATAAAAATTTCTTAAAAGTATTCTCAATTTCTCCTATTAAGTACATTATCCCCATAGTTTTTGATAATTTCTCTAATTGTATATTTATCAGCCCCAACATGTCCTTTCTTTGAAGCCTTACATTTCTTATTAATTTCATTAGCCAACAAATTTTTTTTGCAACAAAGACCGTGAAATAATAATCATTAAACATCTTGATAAAAAGAACAACTGCATATTTCAACATTAACCCCTACCTCAAGACCCTTAACAAAACAATCAAATCATAAGGATTCATGTTAGGAAAATACACATATGTGAGCTTCTATTCGGGTTCTATCCTTGAAATATTGAATTCACAATTTAAAATAGCATTCTTGAAAGAAATTTTATTCTAATGACTTAAATATTGAATTCACAATTTAAAATAGCATTCTTGAAAGAAATTTTATTCCAATGACTTAAATCAGATGATGGAGTTAATCTTGGATAGCTAAAGAATCTTGCAGAGATGGGAAGATCAAGTTGATCATATAAAGAGTTCTTATTTGTATATGTGAACTTGCAATATTTAGGTTCAGTCCTTCAAAAGAACAATTTTCCTTTGATACAAGCTCAAATGGTGTATTCTATGAGAAACCTAACTTCCTTAAAAATTCAATTCTTCATTGAGATTAATATTATCTTTCGCAATCATATATTTATTCATTAGCAAGAGAAAATTGAGTATCATTTACTTCCCTTGCCCTCTTTTTCCTCAATTCCTATTTTCTTAGTTCGACTAACTTTTTGGCATAAGAAATTGATTTTTTATTATTGTTCTTAATTGAATAACCTTTTAAGACTTCTTCATTAATTTGACTCAAGGTTTTTGGTTGTGTGTCTATGTAGATTTATTTTTTAAAGCAAAAACCATATATGTTCCTACAAGTGTTCTTCACTAGCCGAAAGAAACCCTCATATTTCAATTTTAGCTTGTACTTATATGATGGTATGCTAGCATAAACATAGTCAAATAGTGGAGACTTAACCATATTCTCTCATAGAAACTTTGAGGTGTCATCAAGGATAATATCTAAGTAGATTCCATCTACAAAATTGGGTTCCGGTAATATGTGGTACATCAATAATCAAAATCATCAATCTAAAAACAACCAAAAATTTTATAACAAGATGTGTTACAACTCAAGCTTTGGTAAAAAGATGTTGTATTATAAATTATTTATGTAGTTAAAGTAAAAACTAAAAAAAGGGCCCAACAGATTTAACTTCCTTATTCCACAATCACATACCACTTATCTCGAAGCATTAATACCTTTGTAAAATAAAAATAAAAAATAAAAAACTTAATTATGTTTCTCTTTAAATACTCTAATTGTATAAAGCTTCATAACCTGATTCATCTAATAGTAAATCAAACAATAACTCAAAACAGTGAAATTGATCAATGAAATCCAAATTAAATCGGTTAAGCATTTCAACACTGAAATGAAAACCAAACAACTCAAAACAAGGAAATTCATATCAAATAACCTCCTGAAAGAAAAAACCAGAAAAATCGCTAACACACCTAATGTAATCGTCAATGATCGAGAATGGCAAAGCAGAGAACGATTGGGTCGGGGCATCAAGAATGACGATTTCATCGACGATAAGATTGATGATTGCTCCAATGATCAAGAATGACAAACTAGACAATGATTGAGAATGGAAGACATCGTCATCGTTGGAGTTAGGCTATGGGAAGTGGTTACCACCGACCCACCAAAAAAGTGTTGTCACCTCTGTGCCACGTTAATTTCACCACCAACCAACTAGACATAGGAAATGGTCACCACTCCATAATTTTTTTTTCTTTTTTATTTTTTTTATGATTAAATTAAATAAAAACATAATTTAAAGACAAAACTTCAAAAATGGTCCCTGTGGTTTTCAAAAATATCAAGTTTAATCCCTAAGTTTAAAAAACCTCACAGATGGTCCTTGTGGTTTCAAAACTTTTAACATTTGGTCTTTCCGGCTAACTCCGTTAGCATTTCACCGTTAAGTAAGGGGCAATTTTGTCATGTCACTACCCAGGGACCATTTATGAGATTTTCTATTACTTTTTCAATCACTTACTTTTCAATCACTTTGATTTTTTGATGATCGAAGATCTCTTCATGCTATTAAATTTTGCCTAGTGGAATTAGTTCTCACTACACATAGATGGTTGCTCGGTCGGTGGAGAAATGGGTGCTACGAAAGATTAAATCTTCTCATAGAAAACGAATAGATCCCGATGGGATTTGGAAAGAGATGCGATCTTTAAGAGATTCCAAGCTTTGTAGAGAAGTCATCGACGTCGTTGGATGGAGAGGAAAACTTTGTATGGTAAACGTGAAAGGTGATTGTGCAAAACAAGGGTTTGTTTACGATGTGGATTCCAATGAGTGGGTGACAATGGCGGAAGGGATGTTAGGTGGTTGGAAAGGGCCAGCGACATCGATGGATGAAGAGACGATATACGTGGTGGATGAATCAAGAGGTATATTGAAAAGATACAATAACGATAGGGATGACTGGCCGGAGGTTATGGAGGATAAGAGGCTGAAAGGGGCTGAGTACGTTGCCACCGGGGGTGGTAAATTCTTTTTCGTCACTGGCCCCCCTTTAAGTTGTATAGATTCCATGTCTCATTCATCATTTGATTCCATACCTTCATGAATCAAATTGAATCTGAATTTGTTTTGAATCGCCTTTGTATACCTTCGACTCCGCAGGGCGTGGGTAAAACCACTTTGGTCGCTAGTGTTTTGGAGAATCTCAGAACTTCCTACCCTAATTTGAAAATACAAGGGTTTTTCACTCGTAATGCCCTATCATTCCATACTCTTCCATTACTCAAATATGTTTTGATTTTCGCCTTTGTTTACTCATGAAATTTGGGATACAAAACAGGTGAGATCAGACAAGAAGGTGAGAGGTATATTGAAAAGATACAATAATGATAGGGATGACTGGCCGGAGGTTATGGAGGATAAGAGGCTGAAAGGGGCTGAGTACGTTGCCGCCGGGGGTGGTAAATTCTTTTTCGTCACTGGCTCCCCTTTAAGTTGTATAAATTCCATGTCTCATTCATCATTTGATTCCATACCTTCATGAATCAAATTGAATCTGAATTTGTTTTGAATCGCCTTTGTATACCTTCGACTCCGCAGGGCGTGGGTAAAACCACTTTGGTCGCTAGTGTATTGGAAAATCTCAGAACTTCCTACCCTAATTTGAAAATACAAGGGTTTTTCACTCGTAATGCCCTATCATTCCATACTCTTCCATTGCTCAAATATGTTTTGATTTTCGCCTTCGTTTACTCATGAAATTTGGGATACAAAACAGGTGAGATCAGACAAGAAGGTGAGAGGGTAGGGTTTGAGGTGGTTACGTTAGATGGTCGTACTGCTCCACTTGCTTCTACTAACAATTCCAGCTAACCATTTCTTCATATCTTTTCATCATTCAACGTCGAATTAGGTTTTAATTAAGTTTTCCATGGCAGTGTAGAGTCCATTAAATGGTCTACTGTGGGAAGATACAGAGTCGATGTAGCATTATTTGAATTATTAGCTTTGCCTGAGTTTGTAACATCCCAAAAATACAGGCCAAAAATTTCATTTTTAAATACGTCATGATAAAACCAACATTGTAATAAAACATCTATAATATCATGTCATGTCAAAACCAAAGTAGAAATAATCAAACATATTATCATAAAATAATATCAGAGTGTAATCCCAAGGATCTCATGTGCGGAAAACCATAGTGTGATGCGCTGCAATCAAGCCGGCTCCTTTCCTTTAAAAACGAGTACCTGAAACCAAAACTGTAAACCGTAAGCACAAAGCTTAGTGAGTTCCCCCATCATACCAAATACCATAGAATCACATAGCATACATACTGGGGTGCTGACCTACCCGTGTCAAGCCATTCTGGGGTGTTGACTTACCCATGTCAAGCCATTCTGGGGTGCTGACCTACCCATGTCAAGCCATTCTGGGGTGTTGACTTACCCATGTCAAGCCATTCTGGGGTGCTAACCTACCCATGTCAAGTCATTCTAGGGTGCTGACCTACCCGTCGGTCCTAACAACCGACCCTCGGGGACTACTCCCCTCCTACTACCTCTATCGCATATAACATAACAATCCATCATGTAAACATATCATCACACATTGTCAGACGTATCTGGGGTGTCTGACTACCCTTCGGTTCTAACAACCGAACTCGACTACTATCACATACCACATATCGTGCTAGCATACATATAACATGTCAGATAGTAGCAAACCTAGATGATATCACAAAGACAATCATGTATCATACATCTCCTACTGGTGGGCCGGCATTGTGGCCTTAGACCCACCACTACTGGAAAGTAACTCACCTCACACTGCTGAAGTCCCGAAGACACAATCCCACACTTGCTGAAGTCCCGCAGACTCGACCCCAACTGCTGGCTGACAGACTCCCGAACTGTCAACACCAAAATAACACCCAATTAATAATTGGGTCCCGACACATAACCATAATACATACTTGGATAATTACTTCATTACCCTAGGCTTGGCTTATATAAGTCCAAGGCCCGATCCATAGGCAGCAAGCGAACTAGGAATCAAAGCCTAGCATATGACCCAATTTTCCAAATTGGGTCCAAGCCTATATGTGGTCTTATTCTAAGGCCCAACATTATACAATCATTAAGGCCCAACTATAGTCCATCTATGGCCCAATTTGGAAAATTGGGCCCAACCTCTTACATGGGACTTACCCTAGGCCCATTAAATTATTTTAGTCCATATAATTATTCTTGGATGGCCCATTAATAATCCAATCATCAAGGCCCAATAGAAAGGCCCAACAATAAACCCAAGTGAAGTTAGGGTTTCACATAAAATGTCGATTAGGGTTAAGTTTCCTACTTAACCCATTAAGGAATTATTTCTTTAAGGACTTAATCCATTAAGTCCATCATTCTTCTAAATAAGTCATATGATGTGATTGGGCTTAATCACACAATTCCATTCCAATGGCCCAAATATGGGCCTCGATAAGTCCAAGCCCATAATCCCAAATTAGAGTTTTCACATGCAATGATGATTAAGGTTTAGTGTTTCTTTCTTAACCCATTAAGAACTTAATCCATTAAGTCCATTATGCCTTACGCTAGTTTGCCAATGATTAATAATTATTTAAGATTTAATAATTAATTCTCGTGTGCCCCAAGCAATTTCCACAAATTAGGGTTTTATTTGCATTATGGTTTTCCCAGCCCAAATATTAATCCATTTATCAATTTGTTGGGCTTTTAGGTCCATTAGGGCTTTATTGGGCCTATTAAGCCCACTAGAATATCATTAAGCCCATTAGGGTTTTATTTGGGTCAATTAGGGTCCATTAAGCTTTATTGGGCCCATTAGGGCTTACAAGGCCCACTAGGGTTTCAAGCACCCCAAACGAATCAACACAATAGAGACAAGGCACACCGCCACCCGACACGGCGGCCGGTGGCGACGGAAGGCGGCAGCCACCACCCTATGGTGGTGGTTTGATTTTTCCTTTCATTATTCCAATTGCTTTACAATTTACAATGAACCCACAAATAAACACACACACTACACTAATTAAACATGCACAACCACCCTATGGTGGCCGGCAGCGGCGAATGGTGGCAGCCACCACCTCACGGTGGTGGTGATGGCCTTCTTGGTTTTCTAGCCACACAAACCCAACCTTACATCGCAGAAATAACACACGAAAAATAAAATAGACACATGCAACCACCTTGAGGCAGCAGGTAGCGGTAGCGAGTGGCAGCCACCACCTCATGGTGGTGGCGGTGGGGTTTTCTTCGGATCTCCGGCCAGAAAACGTTTATGTAGCTCTAAACCATCCCAATACTCGTGCACAACATCGCAACACACACACAACTTCACGAGACCACCAACCCAACCACCATTTCACGGTGGCAGGTGGCTTATGCAGGCATCGGCGGGGTGTAGTGATTTGCGAACGACAGCAACGAACGATGACAGCAAAATGCGCCTAGCCTCTGACTAAAACCCAACAGCAGCAATGTCATGGTTCCTCGGTGACGAAGGAGTAGCGATAGAAGGATCTGGCGGCCAAGGGCGGCGACTGCGACAATCTCGGCCTCTCTCAGCGACTTTCCGGCTTCCCATTCGCTTCCAGCAACAGCGATGTGGCGGCACCTAGCAACGATTGGGTTGCTGTGGCGAAGGGAGGATGGGAACGGGAGGTGGCTGCGACTGGAGGTAAAGAAATGGGAGTGGCGGCCGACAAGGAATGCATAAGGAGGGTGACGGCTGAATCTTTTCTTTAGGGTTAGGGTTCCTTACACTTATATACCTGACTCCATAACCAAGTTGCCATAATGGCAGAATTGGTCCCTCCCTATAAGATTTCTTCATATTTAATCTAATATTTACCCTTTTACCCTGGATTTGAAAATCTTCTTCAATTTAATCCGATAATTACCTTTTTAACCCAGTCCGTGGAAATTCCCTTACATATTAAGTCCCATAAACTACCGGACAACCCTCAATATCTTAATTATGACATACATAATCAACCCTTCCACCTCATTTCCTTTTAAATTAAGTTCAAATAATTACCACGAAGCCCCTGTCTTCATAAATATTATAATATGAGTCCCAAACTCACGTTTTTTGCCCCTAACTTCTAAAAAATATGACAATTACTCCTTGAACCCACCCCATGCATATATAATTATTTATTTTAGGCTACCATTCGCTCATTAATTAATTTATTTAACGTAATAAATAAATGGGTGTTACAGAGTTACAGGTTCGTTTAGCTTCATCTCCAATTCTCAGTAAGAAGTTGATTTTCGATTTCATTTTCAGGTCAAAGAAGATACAGATCTATTTGTGATTGATGAAGTTGGAAAGATGGAGCTCTTCTGTTCGTTGTTCTTCCCTGCAGTGTTACGTGTTCTTGAGTCAAAGAAGATAAATCTCCGGTGGTTGTTTCTTCCAACGGTTAATCGGAGAGAGAGAGAGAGAGAGAGAGAGAGAGAGAGAGAGAGTGTGTGTGAGAGAGAGAAAGAGAGAGAGAGAGAGAGAGAGAGAGAAAGGACCCTTGCATACTAAATTTTATTTATTTATTTTAAAAACAAGTAATAGAAAACCTCATAAATGGTCCCTGGGTAGTGAAATGACAAAAATGCCCCTTAATTAATGGTGAAATGCTAACGGAATTAGCCGGAAGGACCAAATGTTAAAAGTTTTGAAACCACAGGGACCATCTGTGAGGCTTTTTGAACTTAGAGATTAAACTTGATATTTTCGAAAACTACAGGGATCATTTTTGAAGTTTTGTCTAATTTAAAACATAATAAAATATTTTACATTAATTGAAACTACATTACATTAATTAAAAAACATAGAAAGTTAAACCTAAAAAATAGAAAAATAACCATAAATTACTAAAAACACACAGAAAGTGAAAACTAAAGTACTAAAAAAAACATAAAAATAACATAGAAAATTAAACTTAAATTACTAAAAAACATAGAATCTAGTTGCAATATTTTTCGAGAACTTCTTGTTGAACTTTTAAATACACCCTTAAATGTTTTGGGTTGAGATTCGGTTGCAGCACCGTGTTTATAGTTTGAAGATCAGTGAATGCCAATTGTCACCAATGAGATTCCTCCGTTGATCTAGATTATTTTTCTAAAAAAATTAGAGTTTTGTTGATTCTCTCTGTTAGTACGTCATCGTTGATTGATTTTATGCTAAAAGACGCCCCTTTCTCTCTTTGTCCCTTCCCGGTGGTCGACGAAGTTGAACGTCCAATGGAACCCCCCCCCCCCCCACTTGGTGGCGCCGGACTCATCATTGAGGTCGAGGTTAACACCAATGTGCAACTCGAACGTTCTCGGCCTCTTGTTGGAACCAGTGGTAGATCCAAAATGCGTCGTTTCCGGATAAAGGACTCATTTTGGACCATTGCGACAAACTTCCCACGCTTTTTGGTTGGCAAATGGTTTACCATTGTTGGTAATTTTGTATTGGTACAACGCGGTTGATAAAATGTTGAAATCATTGCTACCACTTGTATGCATATTTTTAAGATTATCAAATACGCCTTTGAATTTGGTCTAAGCCGCTCAAAGATCACGCCATTTTGCATTGACCGAGTCGAATGTCCAGCTCGTTTGCCTTCCTAATAACGCATGGAAGTTGTCTAAAACACGATTCCAAAAGCTTTGACTTGATTGCACATTGTCAATATCCCCGTCTTGTGATATGAAAATCCAAGCTTTAGCTAAAGTTCCCTCTTCCTCCTCCATCCATTGCATACTTTCTTTTTCCTTGGATCTTTTGATTTTTTTTGCCTTCTACGACTTAGTTGTGTTTCTTCAACCCGTTAGTCATCGTCGTCATTG